TTTGCTTTGTTTTCCCCCCAAACCCCCCCTTTCTCCATCATTTGCTTCATTTTCTCCCAAATCCCCCTTTTCCTCCCCTCTTTTCCTCTGTTTTTCCCCAATGCCCCCCATTTTCCCCTCATTTCCTCTGTTTTTCCACCAAATCCTCCCCCTTTTCCTCCCCTCTTTTCCTCTGTTTTTCTCCAATTCCCCCCTATTTTCCCCTCATTTCCTCTCTTTTCCACTAAATCCTCCCCCTTCTCCCTCATTTGCTTCATTTTCCCCCCAAATCCCACTTTTTTCCCCCTCATTTGCTCATTTTTCCCCAAAATCCCCCTTTCCCCACCTCATTTCCTCTATTTTTTCCCCAAATTCTCCTTTTTTTCCCCTCATTTGCTTCGTTTTCCCCCCAAATCCCCTTCCCCCCCATTTCCTATCTTTTCCCCAGATCCCCCTTCCCCCCCTCATTTCCTCTATTTTTCCCCAAATCTCCCCTTTTCCCCCCCTCATTTCCTCTATTTTTCCCCAAATCTCCCCCTTTTCCCCCCTCATTTCCTCTGTTTTCCCCAAAATCCTCCCTTTTCCCCTTAATTTGCTTTATTTTCCTCCAAATCCCCCTTTTCCCCCTCATTTGCTCTGTTTTCCCCCAAATCCCCCCTTTTCCCCTCATTTCCTCTGTTTTCCCCCCTTTTTCCCCCAAATCCCATCTTCGTCTCCCTTTTTTTTTTTCCTGCTCCCCTGTGATTTTGGGGGTTTTATGTTTCCTTTCTCCCTCAACAGCTGCAAAATGACACAATTTGGGTAAAATCCAATTCCCGCCTTGTTTTGAGCCAAAAAAAGCGAAGTTACACAAAAGGGTCAGCCACAACTTTCGCCTTTATCTATTTTTTTTTTCCTTCCTGAACGATAATATTTTTCCACTGAAAATAGAACCTTGTGCCTGGAAATTCTCCTCATGCCAAAGGATTTTAGAGAAACACCCAAATCTTGAGCAATTGGCATTTCCCTGGAAATCCTCCCCCTCCCCTTGAAATATTTTTGGGCAGATCCCAACATCTCCAGAAATTTTCATTTCATTTGAGCCTAAGATCCCCACCAGGAAAAGCATTTTTACAAAAATCCAGTAAATCTCGATTATTTTGCATTTCCCTGGAAATTCTTCCCGTGCAAAAAGCTTTGAAAAAACACCTAAATCTCAAGAAATTTGAAATTTTTGTGCAGATTCTCCTCGTGCAAAGAATTTCCCCAAAATAGCCCAAAATCAACCATTTTGAATTTTCCCAGAAATCCTCCCTCTGAAAAAGGGTTTCCAAAAATGCCCCAAATGCGAAGAAATTTGCATTTACCTGGAAATCCCTCCTGGATTTTGCAAGACCCCCCAAATCTTGAGTAATTTGAATTTGTCTGGAAATTCTCCCTCTGCAAGAACTGCCTAAATCTCAAGAAATTTCCCAATTGGGTGGAATTTCTCCTCCTTCAATATTCTCCTCGTGCAAAGAATTTCCCCAAAATGACCCCAAACTTGACAGATTTGAATTTGCCTGGAAATACACCCAGAAAGTGCAATTTTGGGGGGAATTTCTCCTCCTTCGACGTCTTTACCCCAAATCCACCCCTTCAAATTCACCTGGAAAGTGCAATTTTTGGGGTAATTTCTCCTCCTGCAAATTATTTCCCCAAACCACCCCTTCGAATTCACCTGTAAAGTGCCATTTTTGAAGGATTTCTCCTTCTGCAAATTATTTCCCAAAACCACCCCAAACTCCACCCTTCAAATTCCTCTGGAAACTGAAATTTTTCAACAATTTCTCCTCCTGCAAATTTTTTTCCCAGAACCACCCCAAACCACCCCTTCGAATTCACCCAGAAAGTGCAATTTTTTTGGCAATTTCTCCTCCTTCGACGCCTTTACCCCAAATCCACCCCTTCTTATTCACCCAGAAAGTGCAATTTTTTGGGGTAATTTCTCCTCCTGCAAATTTTTTCCCAGAACCACCCCAAACCACCCCTTCGAATTCACCCAGAAAGTGCAATTTTTTTGGCAATTTCTCCTCCTTCAACGTCTTTATCCCAAATCCACCCCTTCAAATTCACCCGGAAATTGCAATATTTGGGGTTATTTCTCCTCCTGCAAATTATTTCCCAAAACCACCCCAAACCACCCCTTCCAATTCACCCAGAAAGTGCAATTTTTTTGGCAATTTCTCCTCCTTTGACGTCTTTACCCCAAATCCACCCCCTTCGAATTCACCCAGAAAGTGCAATTCTGGGGGGAATTTCTCCTCCTTTGGGGAATTATGTCCCCAACCCCCCCCCATTCGAATTTGTCGCGAATTTGTCCCTCCTTGACCGAAACGCCTCCATCTTGACCCGTTTCACCGCCCCGTCCCTTCTCCCCCTCCCCACAGGTCAACGGGGCCTTCGTGGAGCTCCCCTTCTCCCTGGGGGGCCAGCTGGAGCTCTACCACAGCGGCCCCCACGGCTTCGCCCGCACGGCCTTCGGCCTCCGGGTGAGCTTCGACTGGTACAGCTACGCCCGCGTCATCCTCCCCGAAGCCTACGCCGGCGCCGTCTGCGGCCTCTGCGGCAACGCCAACGGCGACCCCAAAGACGACTGGGTGGCCCGGGGGGGTCAACGGGCCACCAGCGAAACCCAACTGGCCGACAGCTGGAAGGTGGGGGAGGTCCCCGGTTGCTCGGCCGGTTGCGTAGGGGATTGTCCCACCTGCCGCCAAGAGGAGAAGGAGGTCTACCTCCGGGAGGGCTACTGCGGGGTCATCGCCAAAGCCGGGGGGCCCTTCCGGGCTTGCCACGAGGCCATCGACCCCACCCCCTTCCTGGAGGACTGCGCCTTCGACACGTGTCACTACAAAGGCCACCGGGCCACCATGTGCAAGGCCATCGCCGCCTACGTCACCGAGTGCCAGAGCCACGGCATCCGGGTGGAGCCCTGGAGGACGCCCTCCTTCTGCGGTGAGTGGGGAGACACCCCCCCCCAAAAAAAAAAGGAGGAGGGGGGTGTGTCCCTCCCCCCAACTTAGCCAAAAAAATAACATTTGCAGCCCAAACGACCCTTTTTGGTAAAAAAAAACCCAAACAAACAAAAAAAAAACCAACAAAAATTGGGTTTTTTGAACCATTTCCAGCATCCGGAAGCATCAAGGAAGGAGAAGCCAAAATAAATCCCAATTCCTCTCCCCAAATTTCATTAATTCAAAGAAAGGGGGAACCCAAAATAAATCCCCATTTTTCTCCCCCCAAAATTTCATGAATTCAGGGGAGGAGAACCCCAAATAAATCCCAATTTCTCTCCCCCAATTTCCTTAATTCAAGGAAAGGGGGACCCAAAATAAATCCCAATTTCTCTCCCTAAATTTCATTAATTCAAGGAAAGGGGGAACCCAAATTAAATCCCCATTTTTCTCCCCCAAGATTTCACTAATTCAAGGAAAGGGGAACTCAAAATAAATCCCAATTTCTCTCCCCCAATTTCCTTAATTCAAGGAAAGGAGGAACCCAAAATAAATCCCAATTCCTCTCCCCAAATTTCCTTAATTTCAGGAAAAAGGAACCAAATTAAATCCCCATTTTTCTCCCCCAAGATTTCACTAATTCAAGGAAAGGGGAACCCCAAATAAATCCCAATTTCTCTCCCCCAATTTCCTTAATTTCAGGAAAATGGACCCAAATTAAACCCCCGTTTTTCTCCCCCCAAAATTTCATGAACTCAGGGGAGGAGAACGCCAAATAAATCCCAATTTCTCTCTCCACATGTCTTGAATTC